AGCGTCTTAACCACTTGAGCCACCATATGCACAAACATAAATAGAAGCTTGGACTCAAGACTGTTAAATAGCTAATGTGGAAAAGCATGTATGCAGCCTAATATTCTTCCTGCAGTTATCTGAACTCAATCACACTATTGTGTTCTCAGAGGTGTGTAAGAAGCACCAGTCAAATGATGGGGAAAAGGGGATGGAAAGTAGCAGAGTCTAAAGGGGGGGGAGGAATCAATGAAAGTCTTACCATGCTGCTGTTCTTTATATCCTGCCTTTTCAACCTTCTGGTCTCCCGGCGTTGATCTTTCTTTAAGGCTGTTGCTATTTCCTCCTTACCTTTGTGGCTATCGATCACTTTTCCATTACGCAATTGCGAATTTTGTTTTAAATATTCCATAAAACCATTAACATCTTCATTTAGGTAGTCTTTTTTCTTCTTATTCTTCTTTTTTCCTTGGAGATTCCTTAAAGGACTTTGCTTTTTATTTGTTGCTGTGGTTCCAGAGGAACTATTTTTCATATCTTCCCATGGTGTTGCATCTAGAGCCTTCTTGCTGTGAGTGTTGTTAGTTCGAGCCCATCTTGTCATGGCTTCATTCAAAGATTTCTAAAAGACTTAAGAATAAATATTGTCAATTAAAGTCCGTTCTGGCATTAGATCCAAAGTTAGATTCAACTGTGCTTCACTTGGGTGGGTGCATATGATGATTAGGGGGTACTAAGAATATTCAAAAGACCCTGAGAGAATTACCACTGGTGGAGACAGTGTAATGTTTTACATGAATGAATGTTTTACATTTATACATACTTAGGACTGTCCCAGGCCTGCACCAGTACTCAAGAAATCATTTTGATTCTACCAGGAAACATTTCTTACTCGCTGTGAATGGTCCTCAAAATTCAACTTCCGTAAAATTTCACACTTAAACAGTCTTCCTAAGCTTAACTTCAACCATAAATATTATAGCAAATAAAACATCTTAACTCTCCATTCTGCCTAAAATCTGCCAACAATGGAACAAAAAAAAATTACATTGCCAGTTTCATATCCAATTACCATTTTTGCATTCCTCCACAATACCTCTCAGGAAATTCTGCATTCCTTCCATTAGTTTCAGGTTGACAAACAACTTCCAAACACATTACATCAAAATTAGTTATACTAGTATCTACTGCTTCTGTCCAGAGGCCTATTGAGAGACTATAGCCATTAGAA